TGTAAAACGACAACGATAAAGTGCGTACGAACCGACATAGTCTGGACACTTATAAACTGTGTCAAATTTTGTGGTGTATTTGAGCTTGCGTTGTGAGGACACGACGAAAGTGCACAATCGGAAAAACTTGGGATATTTCGAAGGTTAGTTAATTTTGTTAGAACCATTGACAGTTCTTTAAAATTAACCTCAAATTCAGTACAGAACACTGTTGCACATAATTTACAAGAGAAGAATTTACAAGAATTTAGAAATCCAACAGGAGCGGTACCATTATTTCAAGTAATGCTGCAAAATGAAATGCCGGAAGAAATTTTTCCGGAAGTCTACAAACTTTTTAGAAATCTTCCCACACTAGTTCAATGTCTTCTTCAAAAGCTGAACGATCATTTTCAATAATGAAGTGGATAAAAACATTTCACAGGAATATAATGACAACGAGCAATCGTGCGCCCTTGCAATCCTGTCAAATACTAGTAGAGAAGCAACTCACCCGTGAAACTAGTAACTTCAATGAATTAGTGATGAAGAAATGTGTTCATCTGAAAAATCGGCAATTGGATTTTCAATTCAAGTAAACCAGGAACGAGTACAATTTCCTCATTCCTGGATACATTGATACAATTTATAATGTCTCGTTCCGAATGTTGCCTAATCAAACTATTGTAACACAGGTTTTAAATAATTTCTTCTTCTTCTCCATTTCAAGGTTAGGGCTATGACCTGTTCCGGCTTCTGAGAATTCCATTTTTTAGTGGTCTACCAGAGTCTCTCCTACCTTGAGGCCTACACTTAAACACCTGCTTTGGAATGCGAGTCTCTTCCATTATTCGACATGTAACCATTTCTGTCTGTAACATGGCACCTTGTCATTGATTGCTTGAACGTTTAATTCTTTTGGAATTTTCTAATTTCTGAGATTATCTAGTCTGGTACATTTTTACTTTCCCGTATACATACGTATATAATATATTTCTTTATATCGGGTACATAGTTAAATATTTAACTTATCTACAAACTACAAATTTACTATTTCTATCTCTATGCTTAATTCTAACATATTTACATTATGTACTCTATTTCAGGGATCACTCTATTTCCGTGATCTTTATAGCCTGCCAGTTCGACTTACCTATAAACTTACAACTATTACTATCTCCACGCTCAATTCTAACATATTTACCTTATTTTATTGTAAGTTTTTAAACCTTAATAAAATTTCTGAGTTTACCTACTCTGGTACATTTTTACTTTCCCGTATACATACGTATTTATATAATATATTTCTTTATATTGGGTGCTTAATATCTAACTTATCTATAAACTGTAAACTTACAACTATTATTATAACAAACATTAAAATATTCATTATAATATTTACATTATGTACATTAGGGATCACTCTATTCTTGTGGTCTTTGTAGTCTGCCAGCTCGACATGCCACACTGACTCTTGTTGGGTGTGGCATGCAATCGCGGCACTATTTGTTTCCCTATGTCATACATCACTATCAGTAAGGAGTTACCATTACTACAGAGTAATATACGTAGTATAGGTAAAGTTATGTAATGCTGGGGAAAATCGATTTCGAGATTTCAATGGAAATACATAAGATTAATTTGTACATGTATAACAAAAACTCGAATGTAAGAAACGAACAAATAAACATAAAACATACTACAAATTCTAACTCACGAAGCGTTCAGCTGCCTGGAACATGAGACCTGTATCATTCTCCTAAACATGCTTTATGCTAAGGTGTAAATTTAATCCAAAAATCGTGCGCGTCTTTTTTTTTAACAACAAAATGTAAGCAACAACGTTGGAGCCATTTTCTTGAAAATGTCTCAGGGACATCATACAGGGTGCGCCAGAGAAACTTATTTGAAAAAATTCCCGCGCGGTGAGTTGGGCGGTTAGAGGGGCGAGAGGGGACGTATCTGGAGGGGGAAGTTCCAATTTTATTCTCCTTCCAGTCAGTTGCCATCATGCTGTGGACTAGAGAGCAGCGGCCTTCGCAGTCGAGAGCTTCTTTTCTAACGGTCGCTCACTTGTTGCCTACGCAACGTGCCTTCCACGCTCGCTTTGAAATTCCTCCTCACAGACTCGTTCCTGGCCGGAATCGATTCTGTTGTGGGTTAACTCATTTCGGAGTGTGGAAGTGTCGCTAACCCAGAAATGGACTTCAACGCGACCATCAGAACCCGGAAAAATCGAAAAAGAGTGAGAGGGCAGTTATGCGTTCTCCCCGACGTTCGGCTCGCAAACACGCAGCTGCTATGGGAATTTCTGACACCACTGTTCGACGAATTCTGCATGAAGACTTCAATTTCATCCTTACAAACTGCTGTTGTGCAAGAATTAAACTGAACGCGATTTTGTTGCCGTCAAAATGTATGTGAAATGCTGATTGACAACCTGCCTGAAGACGCGGTCGTTTTTTTCAGTGACGAGGCTCACTTCCACATTCCGGCTGCGTCAACAAGCAAAAATGCGTCATTGGTGTGGTGTAAATCCGCGTGAGCTTCACCAGAAGCCACTTAATTTTGAGCGAGTACTGTCTGGTGTGCGATGTCGTAATGGGAATCTCGTTACAGGAACATGATCGAGGAATTTTTTCTCCAAGACTCGAAGAACTGACGAAAAACGTTAGGAACCGTGTGGTTTCAGCAAGAATGGAGCACGAAGCCACAGCACACACAGCACGCGAGACAATGAATTTGTTGCGACACATTCCCCGACCGCCTTCATCTTCTTCTTTCAGAGGCGATCCCAATGGCCGGCCGCTCTCCAGATTTGACTCCATGCATTTCTTTTTATGGGGTTATTTGAAATCCCTGGTTTATGTCGATCGACACGGGACCATAGCACACCTCCAAGAACAAACATTCGGACGCCATTGCCAAATACCGATTGATATGCTGCAAAGAGTGGATACGAATTTCAAAAATCGACTTCATCAGTGTATGCGCAATGGAGGTCGCCATTCATCCGATGTCATTTTTCAAGGACTGGCCATCGAAAAAAAAATTGGGATATTGTATTCTCAAATAAAAAAAAATTTAAAACAATAACTGAAGTATTTTGTTTTTATTGACCTTTCAAATAAGTAAGTTTCTCTGGCGCACCCTGCATAAAGTACCCCCCTCCCCCCAATTGAAATATCGGTTTCAAATTTAAGGGGCCGCGACATCAGCCCGATTCATTGAAGAATTTCAATTTTTGAGAAAATCGGGAGAACATTTTTAGCCGCTAGCGTTGTTCACGGACAGGCGTTTTGCCGTCAATCGATTTTTCGGTACCAAGGACCCACAAAACATGGATCCTGGCAAAATCATGTTAGAGGATTTTTTTCTAAATTTAGCATATGGATTTATCCACTTTTTCGTTTCCAAGGCCCTCTAATAACAATTTTTCTGTCAAAAATTCGCTGTCTTTTTCGCGCAGCATTACATCTCAACTCAGTGAGGAAGTAAAAATTGCTAGCCTTCAGGGAATTTCAGATTGGATTACAACAATGATTCGGGAACTAATTTCTGTGAATTACGTCTTGTTGGGACTTGATTTACCAGTATGAAACGCAGTTATAATTGTCAAATTTATGTTGATATTTGCTTGAAAATATGTAAAAGCGTATGCGGTAGTGAGAAAGTAAAATTTTATCTTCATAAATGTATTAGTAACAAGATGCCAAAAAAAGTTTGAATTTTTGCAGTTTCAGATATAAATCCGGGATTTCAACGCAAATGAGTCCTGCGTCATTCTCTTAAGCATCCTTTACACTATCGAAGGGCAAAATTTAATCAAACAATTTCCTGCAGTTTATGAGGAAAAAAATTAAAATTGCCTATTTTACGAAAAATTACGCGAAAACTACTCAAATTTTCGAAAAATTGTGCATGAGCATATTCCAAAATGTCCTTAGCGAACAGATTTCATTTTCTAAAAATCTTTGAAATTGTAGCTACAGAAAGACTCCGAAAAAATTATGAATTTTCGAAAAGAAAGTATTTCAACAAAAATCAGAACTGCACAATTCCCTTAGGCGTCCTTCACGCTGACATCAAAATTTAATGAAAAAATTTCCCAGGGTCTTCATACAAAGTTCCCCCTAAAATTAAAATAACGGTTTCAAATCCAAGGGGCTGCGACGTCAGCCAGATGGCTTGTTAAATATCGATTTTGGTGAAATTCTGCTTATGGTTTAGCTAGCGTTTTTCACAGAGGGACGGACAGTTCTTTGGTAGTCAATAGATTTTTTGATATCATGGACCATTATTTTACAGAACTCCGCCTTTTTAATCGAATGCTTTTGCAAACATACACTTCTTAACTCTGTTAAAGGAGAAAACAGATGTGGGTAAAGCATAATAAACAATATGGAAAATTTGTATCTTTATGTACATGAAAGTTCAGTAATACTTGGACTTGTTTTAAAATTACAAAGGAAAACTTTTACTCCTGCACTGGTAAAATTCATTACATTTCTATGCCTATGTTCCATTTCAAAATAGTTTCCTCACATCATACTACTTTTACAAACTCGTTTCCCTGCTAACTTTTGAACTTATTTTTGTACTTCATTATAATTTTAATGAAATAGCATATGGTACAGTATCTACACGTTTTGGAATTGATGGCCTAGCTATTTTATTTTTTCTATTTTTTTTTACGACAAAGAAAAATTGAACATTCAATGTACCCTCTGATTATATTTGTGACAAAAATGCTTAGGAATTCACTGTTCATGAGGCTCTAGTAAATATTTGATCTATAGTTCCCTATTAAGGTAAATGGAAAAAATTACAGACAAATTACAAATGGGACTAAGTAAAAAGCACAATGCTCAGTTCAAATTACAGATTCGGATAATTGCACTACTGTGTTTCATTTGAAATATCATGCTAAAAATCATCAACATTTATTTGTGGTGACTGTACCTGCTCATTACTTGTATTAGTTTTCAAAGGTTTCCTCTCTAACAAGTATATGCAAACAGCAAGGTTTAAAAAAATTTATTATTTACATAAGAACGAACATACAAAGGCATAATACTATTCATGAATTAAAAAAAATAATGAAATAGTTGCACAAAAGTATCATACATAGTATATTATTACGGCAATTCAAAAATATATTTCAATGTAAATCATGGAATTACAAATATCTTCAAAAAGTTTTTCAATCACAGACAGCTTAATTACTGTAATATTTTTCTTCAATTGTACAAAATACCCCTAATAAACATTTCAATCAATGTCAGTTTTCAAATTTTCAACAAAATTTTTTGCCATCTCTCGTATTTTCTCAACTCGATCTGGAGTACCATGAGTCTGCTCAAAAGACAAATACTTCTTGAATAAGAACTTCATCTTTGCAACTGGAAGTTTCTGAATGACAGCACGATCCAATACTTGCCTGAAAAGAGACATGATACTTCTCTTAAAATAATTTCATCGTGGAAAATAAACATCCTTATAGACTATATATGCATTACACGTTATATCAAGGATGAAAATTCTGATTATGGAAATAAAAATACAGATTACGAATTATATTTAATATTCTTAAGAGTGTAATAATGAACTCTTACCTTGCTATATCAAATTTCTTGGATTTCACAAGCATATCTATATAGACACTCCAGACATCAATCCTTTTGGGATATGAAGTTAAAACATTCTCCATGAGAGTTTCAGCTCTTTCTGTCTCCCCCCACTCATTTTCCATTCGAGCAAATCTTGTTAAAACTTCCACATCTAATAGATTTAAAAGTAATTCAGTTAATACTCAATCAACATAAAATTCGAAATACTTTACAAGAACAATAGCAAAATTTCAAATATTTGAAATATAATTTATTACTATTATTAGGATAGATTTCCTTTAAATTCAAGAAGAGTGTAAGAAAGTTAAAGGAGCCTTATCTAAATTACAAATAAATGAGGTTTGACAGTTCAAAGAATTGACTGCCCCAGCCAGGAATCAAATCCAGATCTCACAGTATATGACCAGTTGCTGAAACCACTTGAGCTCCCAAGACAGTCAACTGTTTGAACAGTCAGAAGTAAAAAGATCCTGTGACTACATTTTACATTTCACTGCCTGGTCAGTTGTAAATTCCGAAAATTTCAAAGGAGTATGCAAACTTACACACTTGCCAACTACTGTTTGAACCCCATAGCTTTTTAGCAAAAGTAATTGTTACAAATTATGTTTGACTGATTTACTGCGAAACGTAATTGTTAAAACCTACAACTGTAACCATGTGGTGTAATCTGAAATATAACCATCATAGAGATTCTGAACTCCTAAAGGCAATTCAAAGAATTGCATGGTTAGACCAAACGGGTGTATTTCAGGAGATTTGGATTTGATTCCCAGCAGAGGAATTCTATTCTTTGAATAGTAGTTTCATGTCGCACTCTATGTATTTTCACAAACTAATGAAATGAGGGAGGTTTACTAATTCTGGAAGAATACAATCACATATCCATTGTTGATACAGAGTTGAAGATGTTTCTGAATGTTTTATATTTATGAAGCTGTGTACTTGTATGTTGTAGGAAACTTTGACCAAGAAATACTGCAGCCCACCTAAACTTAAAAACATAATAAAAAACAACAGCTGGAATTTGTTTATGAAAGAACACGAGTCAGTTAATTGCTAGTCATAGTGTTTACATACACTCATCAATTTTTACATTTAAAAATTCTCTTCAAACTTAAGGGTATGTCCACAAAAAGCATCCATTTCAGGTCAAAATATAAAATAATTTCATGCACTCTGTACGTGAATGCATCTTGGACATTGAAATTTTCGTTTTGGCTAGAAAAATGTATACTGTGTTTGTCACCAAAGTGATGCTGAAGAGCCCACATACAACAAGTAGCTATTGTTAAGAAATTGGCAGAAATGTGTGGAGTTACAGTAGTTGATTCAGCACCGAAGATCACTAAGAAAAAATTAAGTGATGAAAACATTCAAAAATTCTACAATTTCACAATAATGATGAAATCAGTAAGGTAGATCCAGGGGGGAAAAGGGTTTCTATTAAAAAATTGAAGTAGTACCAAGAAAATTGTAGCTTGACATCACACTGTTTACAATCTCTGACGCTTTTTGTTTGCTTAAAGATCAGTAGCCAAAGATGGATATTGGACACAGCAAATTTGCAGAATTATGCCCTACGGAAATTAAACCCTATCGCGACATTCCTCACAATGTGTGAATTGTACAAATACCACTGTTTATTGCTGTTATACGGTATTGGAAAGAAACATGTGATAGTTTTGCAGTAGTTTCTGAAAACATAACCCATGATAGACAGTGTTGACATATTTCACAAGCTATTTTGAAAACCCATATTACTAAATAATCATTATTTAAACATTTACATCTATTTTCTGATGGAGCTGCCACACAATTTAAACAAAAATACAATTTTGCTAACATCACTCTTTTAAAAGAGGACTTTGAATTAGAAAGCTAGACATGGGCAGTTTTAATTTCATCTCATGGTAAAGGAATTGGTACAATTGTCAAATGACATGTTTGGAACAAAGTCCATTCTTTAAAAAATTGTAGTTACAAGGGCAAATGCACTTCGTGACTGCTGCAAAAGATTTAGGACAATTGTAATTTCTTTTAAGCTTTCTACAACTGAAAAGAAAAAGAAGAAATTGGATAAAAATTGGGAGGGCATAATAACAGTAAAAGGAATGCAAAAACTTCATTGCGTTGTTGCTCTAACCCCTTATATTATTAGTTATAAATACCAAGCACTGGACTCAAGGATTGTGTTAAGATACAGGAAAAATGGATAGAACCAAAGAAAATATTCAAGCTCTGAATCTTGTTTGTAATATTATGCATTAAAATGTATGAGAACCTTGGATGATTAATTATAATTTCTAAATACATTAATTTTTTTATCTACGTCTCTCTGATCCCCGGCCATAATTCGGCAATTTCTTTGAAATAAGAAACTCTACTGTAGTTTAGTTAGCTGGCTTTCTGTTTGTCCGTTTACTAACATGCCAATTCATTTTAATTATTTAATTGCAAAGCTATTAAAACATTACTGCTAACAGATCATAAATCAAAAGAGAAATATTGATCAAGGTCTCCTCCTAATTGACAATTGTAACTATGCATTACAATGAGGAAACGGTCAACTGTCTTTATGTTTATCACTACTTTACCTTGTTCCTCGTCAGTATACTAATGAAAGAAAAATTCGTAATCTCTTTAATGCCTCCGTTGGTAAGAGTTGAGAAAATGACAAAAATTGCTACCAATTTTATTATAAATAAATGGACGTGTTTCACATTGTGAATTGATATACGCACAATGCTCGATTTCATGAAAATCTGTGTTAAAAATCCTCCAAATCCCCAGATATTAAAGCTGGACAGTACCTTAAGGAAACTCACTATTTTCACTCCACTATCTATAACCCGCCGATCCGGTGGCCGAGATCGCTAAGGTAGTAGTGCCGTAGCGATCTCGTACCGAAAGATCATGGGTTCGAGTCCCGCCTCGGGCATGGTTGTATTGTGTTCGTCCTTTCACCCCATATCATCATCATATCAGGGAAGGCAACGGGAAACCACCCTGGATAATTTATCCCAAGAAAACCCGTTATGGGTCACCTAATTTCCATATATGGAAGATAGGACCAAAAGAAGATCTATAACCCTAACATACACCTACACAAAGGCAAAAATCAAATGCATTCAATACATTGATTAAGATTCGCACAATAAAATAATGAACAAATGACATCAGGTAGGTGTTCATTCCATTAATAACAAGATAATTTTAATGTTTAGTGTTTATCCTACACTATGAGCAGGTGATAATACATCTAGCTACCATTTCTTTTGACTTAAAGCAAAATCACGATTTTTAAAAATAACCCTTCCAAATTTGAATTTCAAAAGTATTTTACTGAAATAAATTTGTGCTAAAAAAATCTTATGTCTATCATCCAAACCATTAAATAGGTATTATTTTATTGTTATCACTTACGATATTTCTTGTCAAGAACTGTCAAGGCTCGTTGCATCAGCTGACGAGATTTTTCAATCTCTCCGCACTTAATGCATGCTAAACCAGCCTCCACCCATGTATTTACTTCACTTTTGTATTTCTTTGTGACTAACTGCACCATTTTGTTTAGTTCTTCTAACTTTTTTGTTGTACTATACATATTTAGAACTTGCATGTGTATTTTATATGAGTCATTCATTTGTACAGCCTCCTCAAGAGTCTTCTCTAAACTTTCCTGAAACAATTAAGTGCACATTTACTAAGGAGTATGTACTGTATAAGGAAATTTAATGTTTTCTAGATGAAGATGTAACAATCAGAAGGAAGAAGCAAATTAGTTCAGTTGAAAAATATTGAAACAATGGTGAAGTAGAAAAATAAGTACTGGTTGAAGAAGAGCATAAACTTGGACTTACTTGAGTTCCGTACAAGTTTTCTAGGTTGAGTAACGCCATCCACACATTCAGTTTTTCTTGTTCTTCTCGAAAAGAAATGGTTTTCAAAGCACGCTCTGCAACAGCTCGAGCTTTTCCTATTTCTGTAGCCTACAGAAGTCACAATTTTTTGTTTTACGACACACACATGTGAAGCAGTTAATAATAATAATAATAATAATAATAATAATAATAATAATAATAATAATAAAAATATGTTTTTACAAAACAAGGCAATTTTCTACTCTTACTTCTAAGTGGTATGCCATGTACTTGATCCAATTCCTAGAATCATTTGGAGCCGCCATAACCAACCGATCAAAATCATCAGCAGACACAGGATTTCTCTCTGCATCCATTAGTCTCTCTTCAACTTTTCGTAGTCTCTCCTCTTCCTGTCGTGCTAATTCTCTTTTCTCTACCATACTTAAACGCTGTTTTTTCTTTTTATTCATAGTCTGAAATATGAAAGAACAATGGTAAATTATCACAAAACACAGACCATGGAAAATGTTAAAGCACAGGTGCTCAATGGTTGCAAACAAGTTAAAATAATGTTAATGCACTTCAAATGAGAAAGGAAAAATGGAAATGAAAAAATCGTCCATTATTCACAAAGGGAGATTTACTTCGTAAATATGTTTTAGCAAAGAAAGGTCAAGAAAGTGGTACTGGTCACATTTTCATCAAAGATGTTGAATTTTCAAAAATTTCATAAGTTCAAAATTACTTTTGCATCTTCCTATAACTACAATTTTTAGAATGTAATTTTTTTTTTTTTAAACGAATTTTGTTCATCAAAAATTGATCTTGCAATAAGGTCAGGTTTCCCCCCCCAAAAAAAAGAAGAGTAGTTTTTGCATTAATAGAAAACAATTTTGAGGCAATTTTAAACAGTTTTCTCAAAAAGGACTTCAATATTTTTCTTTAAATTTTTTCCTGGTCTGTGGCAAGGAATGGAAAGAAAATAGTACTGGTCACATTTTCGCATAACACTTAGTATTTTTGAATATTGCAAACAACAAAAAATCAACATTGCAAATTTACAAATTTGTATAAAATTGTTGACAACAGTATTTTTGTTAAATATCTTTTCCCCAAAAATTTTTTTTTAAAAATAGGTCATATATATTATTTTAATGAGTAATTTGGTGCAATTTTGATTTTTGGATTTGCACATTCGAATTTTCCACACTGCATTTTCTAATTTCAGGAGATATCAAATTTCAATACAAGAATGCCCCACTGTGTGCCACGACAAGGCAGAGAGAAATTCTGAGAATGCCTTCTCATTGTTGAGAGATGTTTTGGCTGTAAGAAGCACTGTTTTAATTATCGAATTTGATATGTTAACTCTAAAAGAATTTGTTTCACACCTAATGTTCTATGATTTGTAATGAATTTAACAAATAATAGCTGAGATGTATTAACATAGACAGAAATTGCTCAATAATAATATTAATGATTAAATTTGTTCAAAGAATTTGTTACCCCTCATTCTCAGAGAATGTTTTCCGCAGTCGTAAAGAATTCCAAATTGTGACAATGTTATTTAGTAACGACGCTTTTTAATGAATAAATTTGTATAATGAGGACAATCTTGTATATTTGCAACAATAATGTATATTTGTTGACCATGGGGCAACAAATTCTTTAGTTGTTTTCTTAGAAATAGCAATTTCTGTCCATGTTAATACATCTCAGCTATTATTTGTTAAACTCATTATAAATCATAGAACATTAGGTGCAAAACAAATTCCTTTAAAGTTAACATAACAACACAAATTCAACAATTAAAACAGTGTTTTTCACAGCCAAAACATCTCCCAACAATGAGAAGGCATTCTCAAAATATGAAATATTCATATCATATCAAAATATGAGAAGGTTTTCTCAGAATATAATATATGTATATATATTGAAGAAACTGGTGAAAATCCTGCCGTGAATATTTTTCAAAAAGCTTCACTTGCATTATAAAAAAGCATAAAATTGTATATAAAAATATTATATTTTAAAATTTAATGTAACATTTAATAAACATTATTAAAAAAAAAAGTTTCACCAAAACTTTACCACCCCTCTAACATTGCCACCCAGGTTTGCTTATTCATAAATCTACCACTGGGCAAGAGTGGGCTCCATCATTCTTTGACCTGCTTTCTACCCCAGGTAGGAAGTTGAACAAATAATAGTGTTCTCATTTCTTTCCAAATTGATATTACCATTGTCATTTTTGTTCAATATATTACATATGTATTTCCAAAATTTTAATTTTTACTACAATTTTATTACTACGAAGTTTTCACTGATTTAGCTATTTTATTTGTGTACTGCACACACATGTGCATGCAAATGTCCATGCACCGCTCCTCCCCCCTCTCCCCCACACACAATACACCTCAAATACACATTTCTAAAAGTTACCACATTATTTAGTGCTGGTCAAGAGCATAGATACAATAAAATAAAGGCCATTTTACTTACAACTTCACTTTCATCTTCAGAACTTGAACCTGGTTCAGCATTCTTTACTTTATTTGCAGCAGGAAGTTGATCTGGAGTGGCATTCCAAAAAAAACCTGCACACACATTAAGAAATGATGGCTGTTTCACATCTTCACATTTTTTCTCACTCTCCGTTTTCTTCTTTTTCTTTTCATATCCCTTGTTTTCATGACATTCATTTATCTCTTCGTTTGCATTTTTTGTTTCTTTGGTCAAATTAATATTGCTTACTAACGAGTTCTTGTCTTCATTTTGATGATTCAAAAGGGAATTCTTGGTTTTCTTTTTCTTCTTCATAATGTTCGATTCATTTGCATTTTTGTTTATCACACATTCACCAAGATTGTCCTCAACACGGCAAGCCAAATCACTGGACTTTTCTACTAATGAAGATTGATTGACCACAGACTCTCTCTTTTGTTTCTTATTTTTAATTTTTGTGACATCTTTGTGAAGAGATTCATTGCCACCTGATGTTTGTAAATTATTATCAATCTTCTCAATATTATTTCTAGAAGAATCTTTTTTTCCATCCACCGAAACAAAACTTTCTCTTGATAAAAGAATTTCATTTTCACTTTTCTCAAAAGATGCCTTCCTCTTCCTTTTGTGTGTTTTGTTTTCATTATTTATTACAAGTTCATGAAGATTTTCCTCAACTTTTTGAGAAAAATCAGATGATTCTTCTACAACCAATGATCTATTATTGGCAACATTTTCCTTTCGCTTTTTATTTTTGTTTTCTACTGTCAAATAATCAATGTTTTGATCACAAAATTCTTTGGTTATAAAAACATCTTTTTCATCAATTTCAGGAACCAACACTTCAGTTTGAGAATGATTTACACTCATTTCAAGGGAATTATTCAGTCTCTCATTTTTAATGAAATCAACATGTTGAAGATTTTCCTCCACCAGTTCAGATGTAACATGGAACCCATTTTGGACCAGTGAATTATCATTCTCAGCTTTCCTCTTTTGTTTCTTACTTTTGACTTTAACATCTGTCAGTTTTTCATTATTTGTAGATACAGTACTATCTTCTGTCATTTCCATTTCATTTAGACTATTTTCATGAGATTTTGCTTTTATCTTTTTTTTCTTTTTCAGTTCGGCTATTACACTACTGCCATATTGAAACTTAGAAACATTTTCCCCAAGCTGAGAAAAATTGTCAGACACACTTGAGTTAAACGATTCATCAAAACCAATGAGTGGTTTTTGCTCACCTTTCTTGATATGTTTTACATTGGTTGCTGTACCATTGTCCATTAATTTTTGCACATTTTTAACACTAACACGAGAATTAATACTTATAAAATCTGTGCAGTTTTCTAAACTTCTATCTTCCTCTTCTTTCTTTCTATTATCTTTCTCTTTCACTTTTGAACTATGCTGAATTTTTTCTTCCCCTGAATCGTCTTCCTCAGCACTGTCTGCATCACTTTCATTTCGTCTACATTTCTTGACAATAAGTTCAACTTTTCGAGGCACACCAAATAACATGCCAGTTTCGCACCTGGAAAGAAAAAAATTGTATGTAATGTTTAAATTCTAGTGAACATTTGAAAGAAATTACTATTACTGGTACTATTAAAAATCTATTACATTTAGAGGGTAAGCTCTTGCTAAATAAAAATGAAAACTTCCACCCACTACATGAACATGAAATCACTTTGATAAGAGGTACTACGAAAGTACACTAGCATCTAAACTATTCATATGATTTTTCCAATATGAATATTCCTCTCAATCAATCTGATCCAATTTGAAACCCAGCAATTTATAAAATAATTCTTCAAATTTTGGAGGTACTTTACACGAAACCTCTTGAGACTTTTCAAAAATGTTACCAAACTGGTTCCCATTTTTGTTGAGAAGAAGCTAGCCGTGTTACATGAATCACATTAAGTCGAATGAATTCAGACCCATAAGTGAATAGTAATATAATCTCTACCATCTCTCTTGTTATTACGTAGCAATAACTTCCCAAATGTCCTTTATTATTTAGAAATTATATTACCCGATATTAATAATTGTAAAAATAGCACAAAAAATATATTGTACATAGGAAAATATACAATCATGCATTAGATAATAATTATGATGAATTTTGGCATTATCAGAATGAAAACCATAGATATATTATAATTAAAAGATTACTTCTTACTCTGTAATAGTTAGACTTTCACCCACACCAATCGGCAAGAAAGGTGTAGGACGCAAATCATTGATATGCCAACGTGAAGGAACATAAACAATATAGGAGGTTCTGAAATGCTTAACACCACAAACAAGAACATCTGGCCTTGATATATACACAATCCCCTTTTTGTGTTTTCCAACATCCAGGATCGTTTCAGCTGATGAAAAGGTTTCCTGGACATGTTTCCACAATGTTATTTCAACACACTGGTTTACAGTATCAACATACATTACAGTTCCTTTCACGTGTACATGAACTTCCAAGTTCAAATCTGAAACAATAAACAAATTAAATAAATATTTTTTTAAAAATATATTGAATTGCAATAAGGTTTGGTAATTGAATTAATAGGGGTTGCGGCAGGGTAGTGGCTAGAACATACGTTTGCTAACCTGTTATACCCACATTCAAATACCAGCAAAGCTGAGGATTTTTTTCCAGTCATGACCTCTTTAGAGCAGTCTTACACTCGGCTATCTTTCAAATCGAATAGCAATATTCACTGTTAATAAAACCAGTAAAAATATCAGGTATGATGCTAGCACTAAACGTACTGAAAGTACAAGAGTACACAAAATATTTTTTTTTTTATAAAGGAAAAAGGGGAAAAAGAGTAAGGAAAAAAGGGACAGTAAAAAAAGGAGGGAAAGGAAAGGAAAAAAAGAAAAAATGTGGGAAGAAAAAAAAAAAGGAAAAGAAAAGAAAAGAAAAGAAAAGAAAAGCAAAAGGAGGAAAATATGTAGGAAAGGAAAAGGAAAAAATGTAGAAAAAGGGAAGAAAGAATTAAAACTATCTTCTCACACTTTACAGGTGTGGGAGTTAATCTCGACGGCATTGACTTCACCTATCTGCAGTTTTACTGATACTGCTCCACTGTTCAGAGAGTGCAGAATCTGCAACTCTATGAAAATTGAACTAATTACTTGATATTATATGGGATTAAATTGCAGGGGTGTACCTCTCCGTTCGAAAATAAACTTAAATAATATTGCAAAGAGTAAGGTTGCACTGGCTCAATCCAGCATGTTCACATGGACAAATTTAGGCAGCTTTCTCATAAGTAAAAACTTTTTCTAATGTTTTTGTGACTATCAAGGAAAGTGAAAAGCTATCATGAAAGATTGTACAATTAAAAATGTTTTTAATTTTTCAAATGTTTTTATGGAAGAGTTGTGAATTGTTCCCGAACATCTGTCTAAAATACTGAATAAACTTTTATTCAAAATTTGTTTCAAACATCAATTGCAGAGTTGTTTTTTTATTTTCATTTGATATTCTGTAAGTAAATTGGAAGTTACATGTATATATTTTTAAACAAATAAACATATTTTGTTAACAACTTTTCACCAATGTACAAAAATGGAAGGATAGGGAAAAGGATGGGTTTGTGGAGAGTTCTTGCATGAGTATTCTAGTTAGTGTTAAATTCAGATAGGTTGTATTTGGATCTTAATTGTAATGATATTGTACTTGTAAGGAAAGTAATCTTAATTTTAACTCAATAGCTTGGTATTGCTATGGAGAAAGGAGAAGACGAGAAAAAGGGGAAAAAAAAGAAGAAAAAAGGAGAAGAAAGAAAAAGAAGAAAAAAGGAGAAGAAAGAAAAAGAAGAAAAAAGGAGAAGAAAGAAAAAGGAGAAGAAAGAAAAGAAATAGAAGAGAAAAAGAAGAAAAAAAAGAGAAGAAAGAAAAGAAATAGAAGAGAAAAAGAACAAAAGAGGAGTAATAGAAAAAGAGAAGTAAAGAAGAAAGAGACAAAATGTACAATATTATAGAAAAGAGTGAGAAAATAAAAAGTCAACAGCTTTGATTTAAAATATACTTTTCACTCAAATGTAAATTTTTATGGTCCATATTATACAAAAGAATCTTCTGTGTGTACCCTGCACTCGAAACAGAGTTGAAGTAAAAATTTCTTATTACAATCATTCAGCCTTGTACTCTAAACTCCTCCTTTGAATGCTAATTGACCAATGATTACTGCACTACTACACACGTTTATTATAACAACAGAATCATGAGTTTCTAAGCAAAAGAATTAAGGGAGTAATGTAACAAAAGTAAACAAGTAATGTCACAGAATCCAAGCAACAGGATTATTCACACCGCCTTCTCCTGCTTTCTAGATTTGTAAAATTACCTTTTGAAATGTGCATAGGCATCACAACAGCACGCGCTCCATTGTTCAAGTTAACAACAGCACCAATAGTTGTCACAGCAACAACAGTGCCTTCAACTTGAGAACCTATTTGAAGTTCTCCAAGTGGATTACCCTCACTTTTCCAAAAATTATGAATTCGTTTCTGAGAAAACATAAAATCCTGAAGAAGCATAATGCCAGTTTCCACCTGCAACAAAATATTACCATTTTCAAATATTTGACTTAAGAAGAAAAAAAAAAATTAGCATCCCATCACTCTCCCACATTTACAATAGACAAAGATTTTCGTAGTAAATGTCAAATCTAAATGAATAAAATTGATACACCAATTTGTACAAGTATGTTCCAGCATGACTCCGAAACACCGTAAGTGATTTCAACCACAAATGACTCACACCGCGGGGGGGGGACATAGACGGGCGGTCGGTAGGACAGACAGACGGACGGACGGACGGTCGGTCGGACAGACAGACAGACGGACGGACGGACGGACGGTCGGACAGACAGACAGACAGACAGACAGACGGACGGACGGAGGACAAACAGACAAGACGGACGGACGGACAAACAGCAGACGGACGGACGGACGGACGGACGGACGTGTAGGTCAGTCGGTAGGTAGGACAAACAGACAGACGGACGGACGGACGGACGGACGGTAGTCGGTAAGGACAAACAGACGGACCGGTCGGTCCAGTAGGACAAACAGACGGGACGTCCGTGGTTCGGACAAACAGACGGACGGTCAGTCGGTCGGGTCGACAGACGACGGGACGGTCGGTGGTCGATCGGAACAAACCAGACGGACGGTCGGTCGGTCGATCGGACAAACAGAAGCGGACGGTCGGTCGGTCGATCGGACAAACAGACGGTCGGTCGGTCGGTCGATCGGAACAAACAGAACGGTCGGTCGGTTCGGTCGATCGACAAAACAGAACGGTCGGTGCGATCGGTCCGATCCGGACAAACAGACGGTCGGTCGGGTCGGTCGAGTCGGACAAACAGACGGACGATGAACGGCCGATCGATCGGTCAAAACAGACGACGGACAGGTCGTCGGTCGGTCGATCGACAAACAGACGGACGGTCGTGGTCGGTCGATCGGACAAACAGACCGGACGGTCGGTCGGTCGGTCGATCGGACAAACAGACGGACGGATCGTCGTCGGTAGATCGGACAAAACAGACGGACGGTCGGGTCGGGTCGGTAAGAATCGACAAACATGACGGACGGGTCGGTCGTCGAATCGGACAAACCAGACGGACGTGCGGTCGGTCGATCGGACAAACAGACGGACGGTGCGTCGGTCGGTCGGTCGATCGGACAAACAGACGGACGGTCGGTCCGTCGGTCGATCGGACAAAACAGACGGACGGTCGGTCGTCGGTCGATCGGACAAACAGACGACGGTCGTCGGTCGGATCGGACAAACAGACGGACGGTCGGTCGGTCGATCGAACAAACAGACGGACCGGTGGTCCGTCGATCCGGACACAGACGGACGGTCGGTCGTCGATGCGACAAACAGACGGACGGTCGGTCGATCGACAAACAGACGGACGGTCGGTAGGACAAACAGACGGACGTCGTCGTCGATCGGACAAACAGACGGACGGGTCCGGTCGGTCGACGGGACAAACAGACGGACGGGTCGGTCGGTCGATCGGGACAAACAGACGGACGGTCGGTCGGTCGATCGGACAAACAGACGTGACGGTCGGTCGGTCGATCGACATCAGCAGACGGAACGGACAGTCGGTCGATACGGCAAACAGACGGACAGTCGGTCGATCGGACAAAACAGAGACAGTCGGTCGATCGGAACAAACAGACGGACAGTCGGCCGGTCGGACAAACAGACGGACAGTCGGCCGGTCGGACAACTACAGACGGGAACAGTCGGCCGGTCGGAGCAAACAGACGGACAGTCGGCCGATCGGACAACGAGACGGACAGTCGGCCGGTCGGCACAAACAGACGGACAGTCCGGCGGTGCGGAACAAACAGACGGAGCCAGTGCGGACCAATACAGCGGACAGTCGGCGCGGTGGTACAAACAGATGGACAGTCGCCGGTCGGACAAACGATGGACAGTCCGGCGGTCGACAAAACAGATTGGACCAGTCGGCCGGTCGGACAGAACAGATGGACAGTCGGCCGGTCGGCAAAAAACAGTTGGACAGTCCGGCCGGTCGGACAAACAGATGGACAGTCGGCCGGTCGGACAAACAAGAATGGACAGTCGGCCGGTCGGACAAACAGATGGAACAGTCGGCCGTCGGACAACAGATTGGACAGTCGGCCCGTCGGACAAACAGATGGACAAGTCGGCCGGTCGGACAAACAGATGGACAGTCGCGTCGGACAAACAGATGGACAGTCGGCCGGTCGGAGCAAAAACAGATGGATAGTCGGGACCCGTCGGACAACAGATGGACAGTCGCCGGTCGGACGACAACAGTGCGGATTGGACTTCCCACTTTTCTGTTATCAAGTGCCACAGCAATTTTTTTTCTAACGGAAAAAAAAAAACCGCCGTTTATTCCGCGCGGCATTAACATAATCTTCACTACACTTCGTAAGTAGTGTGCGAGAAAGTAAATGCACTGCATTTTTAAGCAGTGCTCGGCCAATGGTAGTTTTCTGCAAATACACAATTAACGATGTTTAGTTTAATTTGTCATGAAACTATAAGTTGGAATAGTTGATATGTACAGAAACGGTAATTTTGATTTTTTTTTACTTAATTTTGTGACTTTCTCAGATTTCTTTCTTCTGCGTAGTTAGTGTTATTAGCACGCTGGTAGAGCCCGCAGTAATGCGAAAAGCAATTCCCTCTGGCATCCCCCCCCGCGTCAACAATATTGTAATTTTATCTCCGACTACCAGTGCGTAATTTAGTCACTCTGTGTTAATGCATCAAATTCAAAATTATAATTCATAAGTTATTCATATTTTATTGCATTTTTTGTTCTTAGTGCCACAATATGTTTTTTGGAATTCAATTAAGAGGCATATTTGTCTCCTCCCACTGAAAATTAATACCTTCATAAATGTTGAATGCGAACGCAAGGGAATGGTTTTTCCGTTTTTTGCAGCAGCAATTTGCCGTAACTTCTTTTAGTTGTCACGTCCGTGGCACCACGGAATACAAAAACAAATTAGGAATATGAATAATTTTATTACTGGTACATGAATTTCCACCAATTGAATTGTATTTCGACGGTGATACAGCCGAAAATCAGAGAAGACGGGAAGTATGTGTCAAGCACACACTGGTTTGGGTACTATCTGTCCGAGCCACCTTCCCCCCCAGACGAATCATCCAGACATGCCTGGTCTTCAATAGCGAAAATCCGCCCGAGCTGAATAAACTTGTTAATTGCGAATAGAGTTAAATGCGAAGCTGGTACCGAGGAGACGCGCAGCTGTGCAGCGTTCGCAGAGTATCAAACTTTGTCGAAGGTGGTGCAATTTCTTGGTTGGATGGCCTGAATCTGTGTCCATCTTCTGTCCTGGCTTTCATTCTTCTAATTTCGGATTGGCCAACTGCTCACGTCCCCAGAGGGCTGGGGGTGGGTAGGACAAGGACTAAATTGGTATTTAGACTTTTTTTTCGTTAAAGGTAGTTTTGAGTTGGGAGGAGAGAAGAGTATGAAAAGAGAAGCAGAGATGTTAATGCACTTAGAGTTTGAAGGAGATAGAAAATAGGTGGGTGAGGGGTGGTGCTTGCTTTTTTGAGGGGTTATTTGTTGAGGGGGGAAGTAATCCAAACTCAGTAGAGCCAGGGAAGGAAAATTCCAGGAAAAGCTCGAACCGAGCGATTGGTGGGGAATTAAGCAACAAACGCAATACTCTTCTTCCAATGAGGACAGCGAATATTCAGGGGAGGGATGAATCAGGGAGACTAGAGGTTAAAGGAGATGGGGAAGTTTCTCGTGCGAGACCAGGGCACGGCCGTGACAAGATCAGGAGGAAGATGTGGATTCAGATCATTAAAGGCGAGAGTCGTGATAGAGATCGGTAGGGTGGACGCATTTAAGAGAGCAGTGAAATTCGGTCGCCAATGTTGGGAACTTTGTAATTTTCAATTGTCGCTGCAGGAACTGGGGAAAGTTCCTTCCGAATAGTTCAGTTTTGAACTGAAATTTGAAATTATTGTTTCTGCGGGAACGACCGACCTACCGCGAATGTTATAGTTCTCGTGTCTCATTAACATTAGAACTATTTAAAACAAAATTAAGTCACGGGAGCCGGAAAATTCAAGTTAATGACTTTAAATTCGGCAGAATTCGCCTGAATTCATCAGATCCAACCGCATCAAACCAAAGACTGGAACGGCGCACTAACGACGAGAAGAAGACACCGAGTGACGTAAGGGGGACAAGGTCGTTTGCGCGCACTTTCCATTCACACGAAGGGAAGGGCACAAGTGGCGCGCCTGAAGCGCCCCAGCGGCGTCGGTCGACCCCTTCCGACCGCGCGCATCCACGCGCAGCAGCCTGCCCCAGTTGTTTGGGTTGATGACCTCCACGAGCCCAGCGGACCAAAACGAGAGTTGAAATCCCCTTAGTTTTTCAAAGGAAAACATTGCTTTGGGGGCCTAAATAACGCTTCACAAAATCCACACTATTGTTTTTAAGTTTCTTTTTGAAGCCAGCGCGCCGCGCATTGGCCCTGATTAACGATACTGGATAAAACTGTTGTCATTAGCAATTAAGATAACCTTTTAAAACATTTTTAAAAAACTTCAACATGAACTCATTTTCATGTCCAAAATGGGGAGTTTTGTGGTGTGTGTGTGTTTCTGAAAGCAATACATTAAATGCTGTCTGTTCTATTCACTTTTTCTTGTGACCTGCAACAAACGCCCACCTTCATCCACTCGCTAAAAGGTATTCCAGCAGAAACTAACTGAGCTAGCCCTAAGCGTTTATGTCGATACTGAAGAAAAAAACGAAAAAAAACTGGTGTGTAACGCAGATCCATGATCTGTAACAAGGAATATTGTTACAGTATCGTGATCTGGTATATCCAACGTTGCTTTTTTTCGGGCAGTATCTAAACACGTTAAATTTTTTCCAAAAACATGAGTAGTTTTTGCATCATTTTATGTGAAACAATGTCCATTTTTTAACTTGGATTTTTCTTTTGGCAACTATTTTGAGTTATTTAGTATCAACAAA